AGGTAGAAATGTTTCTAGAACCACAGAAAATAAAGTTTTACTACTTTACTACTTCTTGCTCAGGGCTCTTCTACTTTTGGGAAGAAACAAACCAGAGGAAATACAGTGATTTGAATTATGGACCAGTTCCTTACAGAAGCAGAACAGCTGCTTGATTCATGTGATTTTAGGCTGAGTCATAGGCAGTTTATGAAATTTGCAGGGAAGCCCCTGTTTCAGCTCCCAAACCTGATGCAGCATTGACAATGAGTCAGTTGGGTTACAGCTTCAGCAGTTCTGTGCTACAGTGCTGTTCCTTTGTTCATAGACCGTCAGTGTTCTGCTGATTTCTTGTGACTGCTATTTTTAGCACCATTTACTAATGGCAGTCCTGGCAGCAAATAACAAAGTCTTCCCATATTTCCACAGTCCAAGTCCTAATTCAGGCTTTTTCTTCTAAATTTGATGTGCACTCAGCCATTGCTGGGACTGTGTGTAATTCTGTCAGCAGAGATTTCTCATGTTCTGGCAGAATTTTTCTTGCTGGAAAAACAGAAATGCTTTGTCAAAACAGATGCAGCCAATTTCAGCTGAAGTAAATACAGCAGCTATTCTTGGCCATAAGGCCTTTAACTGAGAACCCTGTTACCCCTAAGAAATTTTACGTGCCTCTCCTGTCCTTGATTCCAAGCCTGTAACCTGTGTCTCTCAGGATAGCAAGCCACAGTCCAAAGTCAAGGTGAAAACATACATAGTCACACTTACTTACTTGGCCTGGTATTTTATGCACAGTTCCAATTATAAAATTTCCATCAATAATGGAATTCCCTAGACTTGACACAAATAAACACTAGTCTCCATTAAGAAACCTGCCCATGGAAGTTACTCTTGACTAATTTTTTTTATATTGTTGTATATAATAACTAATTTTCCCTAGTGTGTACAGTACTACAGGCTACAGGCGTAAAGCCTCTAGCACATTGGACTGTTCAGTAGACATTTTGTGCTTAAGGACTTCACATGATCTCAAAAGACTGACATTGTTGTGTCTTCTGTGGTTTTAGTGGAGTTGTTTGTGCATTACAGCATTTTCTGATAGAAATTATTCCCCTAGCTTCTTTGAAAAGCTTTAGACTCAATTAGGACATAAGTCACTCTGTCTTGGCACACCAACATTAAATTTTCAGTTGACAGCCCAGCTGGCTCAGTGTTTACATATCTATGAGTTAATCAGTGGCCTTCCTTGACATGTCACTATTTAGCTTCAGTGGTCATTCAGATTTTCCAGCTTTCAGTTTAAAGTTGCAAGTCACAGGAAACAAAAAGTAATGGTTTTTTAAATGGGCTTACAGTTTCAAAAGCTTAAAATGCTACAGCTGCCTCAGGAACTACCAAGTATTCTATTTTTTTGTTGCAGTGCCTGCTTTTTAAAGCAAAACACTGAAGAGAAGCATAAGAGCAAACAAGATACAAAATAGATATGAGGGCCAAAGGATAAAGAAGATACCAAGAAGTCACTAGACCTTTTGAAAACCAATTATAGGCCATATAACCCTTAAAACATACTCACCCCTTCTTTCTTAAATCAGTGACATGACACTCCAGGTTTCTTGAAGTAGTCAGGATCACTCCTTCATTTACATTGCAATAGCTAGGAGAGCAAACCTGTGTCTGTGCTTGCCCTGTCTGCACACCCAGCACACCCCCACCCCAGGCGCCTGTGCCACAGTCTGCACATAGTGATTCAATCCCTGCCTACCTAGGGACATAAAAACCAGGAAATATCACACATCTGTGCCAAAGGAAAGACTGTGTGATGTTCTCCAAACTGGGGACTGTGACCAAACCCAAGATCCCTAGAACTTCTCCTTCACACCTTCATCATCCTCCTTGCAGTTGCTCCAGGATATCCCTGGTGTGTCTCTGCAGTTACAGAGGAGCTCACCTGCCCTCAGCTCTGCTGCATTTTCAAGGGAGGCGTGCGAGGGCTGTAGTATCACCTCTCACCACGAGATGGCAGGTGTTTCCTGATGGTTAGAGATGATCAGGCTTTTAGTAGACCTTTGAGATAGTGAACTTCTCTGCTTCAGAGAAAGCAGAGGCAAAAGCAAATAAGGACCAAAAAAACCACCCACTGGTTGCAGGATTGTGAATGAAGTAGGGGAAGCTCACATATATTGGGTGCAAAGACAAAAATAAATCCTCAGCTTAGACTCAAGATATTTTTACTACTGTAAGGATTTGCATGCCCCTTTCTTATCATAGCTCTTTCCATTAAAGAACTTTTTAGTTATATAATTTTTTTTTATGTCATCAACAATATAAAACTTCGGGGTTTGGGGTTTTTTTTGAGTCAAAAAACATTCCCAAATTAAATATTGGGTAATTTTGAAACAAACTCATAATAAAAAAAGAACAATTTCACATTCATGTGTAAAGTTGTGTATCCATTCCTTGCTGTACATAGATACACAGAACGCATTTATTATGCAAGTTACTTGTGCTGATCTTTCTCATTTAAGAATCTTGGGCAACTCTCATTACCACAATAACAAATATACATTTCCTCAAATGATCTGCCTTTGAAATCAAGAATCACTGTCTTCCAAAGGCAAAATACAGAGACAAAGCTAGTAAGTATGCCCAGCTGTTAATTGCCCCTCTGCCCCTAACAGAGGGTACAGCAACCCTTTCCCAAGGCTGTCTACTTCTCTTTGCCATCAGTTTCTGTCAGATTCTTGCCTCATGGGGGTCAGTTAAGCTTCTTGTAAGACAGAGTCAGTCCCAGTCCTTGGCCAAAATACAGGCAAATACTACTGACTGCACCTCTCAAAGCTAGTTCTTTTAGTGCTGCTGATATTCAGCCTGTTCAACCAGTAGATCCATACCTTCCCTATCCACTTAAGGGCAACTGACAATAGACATAGAATCAAGACTAGCTGAATTTGGGGACTATGAAAAACACTTTTCTGTCAGAATAAAAAGAGGCAACAAGCTCACATCCTCATTTAATGGTGCTCTGCCCTTCTATCCAAAACTGAACCAAAATTTAAAATTACAAGATATTTCAAAAGTAGTTATGAATAACTAATTGCTTTGCCTTCATGGACAGAAGAACATGATCTGCTGCAAAAATTACACAAGTAGGCTGCTTTTAAAGTTATTATAAATGCCATGCACTTCCTTTGACCTTGTTTAAACAGTTCTTCTGCCTGACAAATAATTTCCAGCTATGTCTAGCCACAAGTCAAGAGTGCTACCCTAGCTTAAAGAACCATAAGGCAGAATTTACATTTCTTTCCTCTTGCTAACAGCTTGACCTAGAACTGTGGGAGGCCTTTTGAAAAATATGTAGTCTGTTGCACAAAGCACTGCCCAGGCCAAGCTGCAGCTCTCCATTTTTCAGTACTGGTTCAGGAATAACCTTTGATTTTTTTTAGTTTCTGTACAAGTTATTTTGAAGCAAGCATCTGGGACCATGCTGACTATGCCTATCCTTTTTGGTAGGTTCCAAAGCACAGTCCCAAACCCATCCTGCACTCCTCTCCACAGATCCAAGGGAAGTGCATGCATAGAGTAAGGCAACTGGACACTGTCACCATTTTGGTGGGGATACCCATAGATGTCCTCACAGGAAAACTAGGTTCTCCTGGAGCACAGCACCACAACTTTGTCATTGAAGAATGGTAATTAAGCTCATTTTATCTTAGATAAGCTTGTAGGAATGAAATAATACAGTGGTTTGGCCAGCCTCACAGAAGCCAAAATGGGTGGCAAAGGCCACTGATCATCCTGCAGGCACAGAGACAGCAGGCAAAAAACTGGAAATCCCTGAAGGGAGAGCAGGTCTTATACAGGAATAGGAGAAGGATGTCATGGAACAAAACTGATAGCCTAGTAGAGCCTTTTTAGTGTTCAATATCAAATTGGTTATTAATTCAGGAAAAGTTCACCCCATACAGGTTTCTTACCTCTCTTAGTAACTCAGCTACAAGTTTCTAGATAAATATATTGTTCATCTTATCAAAATTAAATCATTTTTCATACAGAAAAGATTTAAAAAATACATCTTCCTGTCTTCAAAGCAGTATGTATTGCAAACATAAGTGATTTAAGGCATCATGAATTTCATCTATAAGGTATTTTTTACACAGAGCAACTAATTGATAATTCAGTAATCCCAAGGTGTCTGCTGAGAAGGAAAACAGCTGTTTTCCTAGCTGTAATAAAAACAGATACAATAAAGTCAAACATTGACAACTATATTTCTTCTACAAATAATACACATTATAAAAGACATAAGAATAAATTGAACACTCAAAACCAGTATCTTGTAAACAGATATAAAACTAGAAAAAGTGTGTACATCTCAATTTATGCCATACAAGGAGGAAAAAAAAGTATTTCAAGTATAACTATGAGTAATCCAGTGTGTGGTGAAGTTTAAGGCTAACATTTTCAACCTTCAGAGCTGAATTTATACTGAATCCACCTATGAACTCTCAGAAGCAGCTTTATTTCCATCCAACATGAACTCTTGCATCTGATATTGACTTTTGAAGAGCTTCAAGAAATCAAACTCATCTTCACAAGACAGAGTTTCCTCAAAATTTTACAGGTTTTACCCAGAAATCAGGAAAGTGGGTATATTTCAGTTGAACACCTTGATTCAGGAATGCTACTGCATCATTTCATATTCCCATTCTAATTCTTAGATGAAGATTCCAGCTCCTAGCTGGTCTGGATCTACCAAAGCACAGCATATTATAATACCACACAGATATACCTGTGGTGTGTTATGGGAGGGAAACGCTGTGTGCACTCATCACTCAGAAGAACAACTTAACACACGTAGGAAAGACATTCTGTGCTGTCCTTGTGAGCTAGTAAGGGCCACCTGAAGATAAGGAGAAGCCCCATATCTCTCCTGAAGGAAGACCAAGGTTGTTCCCATGGAGACAAGATGAAGGAGAGAAAGTTAAGAGATATGGGCTCTGGCTGGCTCACAGTGACATGGCTCCCTGATCACCTACTGGGAACTTTGTTTCTCTCTTATGACCAATGGGCACTGAATGTGTATGTTGGATGGGTGTAAATATCATGAAGTATAAAAGCAATCTTGCTGCAATAAATCTCTCTCTTGCACCCTTTTGATGGAGTCATGTATTTTTGTACTGTGTCGTGCTCTATAATTACAAACACACAGAACACATGAACCTAAATCCTGCATGCAGTCAGCCCAAGGTATGGCAATTATGTTGGACAAGCTGCATTATGAGCTATTTGCACATCAGCAGTGGATGCCTGTGCAGGACCTGAAAGCAGCAGGCAGCCCAGCCACAGCAATAGTCCCCAAAGCTGAGTCTAGAGCATCTAACTCAAGACAGATTATTTGCAAAAGTTATGAGGCAGACACCTGTTGGGAAACACCCACTCTTAGAAGAGAACCATTAAGCACTTAAACTCCAGCCCCAAGAAGACAGAGCAGTAAAATTTTCTCCTTAAAATACAGTTAGAAAACTAGAGTTCTAAAGAGTAGCAGCTTTTTTTTTTTTTTTTGAGGAATGGTTAAAAAAATTCATCACAAATTCCAGTCTTTTCTAAAAAAAATTAAAAATTCAAACCTAAAATCTAGGTCAATTTCTTTACCCTGAAACAAGACTTTCAGCTTCTTGAAGTCACTAAAATAAAGCTAATTTTATGTCAGTCCAGAACAAGTGCCTGACTTGAAAATGTTAGTCTTTACTTCTAGCTCCTCTGTAACCATATCACTCAGTGTCTATAGTAAAGTATTACTAGAGGTCCCTTTTCAAACTCTTACAGTAAGAAACTCAGCATACAGCATTAGACTTCCCTCAGCTTCACTACTAATTCTTATTATTTCTACTCAAGAAAAGTAAACGGTGTATCAACCTACACCCCATTCTAGTTTTGCCCTACAACTTGACCAGTGCTTAGGTATATACATCTATGTACATACTACATGTCTGAGATGTCAGAAGAATGGTGGGAGAAAGGCCAATTCTGAAACATTTAAAATGTAAACAATGTAATTCACACAATCAGAATCCTTTAAAAAAATCAGTCTAAACCACTGTAAGTGCTTTAATAGCTATCCACCTGGGCTGTAGGTGAATTCAGCTGTTCATTTTCCATTAGAGTGGTTCTAATCAATATATAGTGCTAGTTTCACACAAGACTGCAACTGCCTTGGTGTGGGACAGAAAGTAGGGCAACCCACAGAACTGTAAAGAAAACCACAGCTTGTGAAAAGGGAAGTTACAGTCAATACTAACAATACCCTGTGGTGCCATCATCTCACACTGCAAAGTGAGAGGGATTTGATACCTGCACTCACAGTGTACACTGCCTTTAAACCTTTGGAAAGTAGTTTTAAGCACAGAGCCTTTTATTTGGGGTTTTTTTGCCCCTAAAGGTTATGGGTTGAAAAGTCTCTCTGAATTGCATGATTTCTCTTAGAGTACATATATACACTATGATGTAGTAGCATGTGAGTAATTATTTTGTTTAACAGCTGTTACTGTTTAATGTCTACTCTTGTTCATAAGAGACTTAATTTTTTCAACTGTGATGTTGAATATTCAGTTAATTGCAACATTCAGATCCAAACTGCTGCCTGGAACACTGAGGTGTTCCTGTGCCAAAAACAGTGTCACAAAGCTTAAAAAACAACTAAAAAGGAAGAAAAAAAGATTCCACCTCATCTTCTACTAGGTAGAACATAGAAAATTACCAGTAAGGTCAAGAAACTTGTCTTCTAACTGTGGCTTTCCCCAATAACAGCACACAACTGATATGGTTCACAAGTGCTGCAGGAAAACAAGCAGTCAGGCTTTTTCATTCCTTTTCTATTTAGGAAGGCTGTGAACAGCAGCAAAGAAACTGAAGATATTAGCAGACTCAAGAACTCAACCTGGATGATTCCATCCACTTTTGGAAGGTTGTCTTTGCAACCCTGAGGGCATAAAGCTTACATTGTGTATACAGTAGATAAAGCTTACACAGTATACAAACCCTCAGTACAGGCTTTCTCTCTCTTGCAAGGGAAACTTCCAATGTATCAGTGGTAGCTAGCATTTAACACGTACAGAATAACAACTTGACCTAGAAATCATTCTGGTAAGTTCTGTTCCCTCTCTTGGGCCATTCCTCCTCCACCCATTTCAGCAGCACTTTCACAACATCAATTCTCTTATAAAATTTACAGAGATCAATCAGCTGCTCCACAGTCCGGTCACTATTCCGTAGCAAGAATTCCAAGGTGGGACTTTGGGGCTTTTGTTCAAGGAAACACAATTCATCATAAGTCATCCCCCACTTGCTTGCTAAATTTCTCCAGTTTTTCACTGTTGGATGGCAGGGATCCAGCTTTAGCCTCACTGTGTACAACAAGTCCTCATCATTGAGCATGTCACTGATGGTTGGCGCACGGAATAAGCACAAGGAGCAGGTGACATTTTCCTTGCAGGTTTTCTTGAGATCTGCAGTGAAAATAATTATGTGGGAAGAAATTAGGATCTATTGCTGTGGTATCACCAGGAACAAAAGTTAAAAGCATATAGGGTTGAGGAGTATTATATTTCTTTGAACTGCTTCTGAAAAAGTCAGAATAGCGATATGCAATGCCTCTTCTCATGAAGAGCTCATTAAATTACTTTCTAAAACGTCTCTCTTCACTACACGCTAATCAAGTGTGGCTTTAATCAAAAAAACAGTAATTTCTGAAGACAGTACATCACTTGGAAAAGTTATTTATACTTGTACAGAAAAGACACAGGATTCAATGCAGTGTATGAGCTAGGATAGTTCCCTTTTTTTGTTCTGGAACAAAGTCTCTTCCTTGAATCTACCATAATACCCACTTACATCACCAACAGGATTATGTGCGCATTCTGCGCATCTTGTGTACCTGTGTTGTAGAATGAAGGAAAAGGCTTTGCATTTCTGAGGTACTACCTTAAAAACAACATGAAATACATGCACCAGGAGAATCTCTGCTGACAGATCCAAATACAACTAACATCTATACTTTAACACAATGAAAAAGTAGATATGTTCCTTTGCTTTTTAAGGGCTCTTGCAATAAAAACTGTCCTTGTTTTGCCAACAAAACCTATTTTAAAGGTACATCATAAAAGGAATAAAGTGCATACTCCTCCATGTGCAAGAAAAAGACTAAGTTGGTGGAAAAAGGTGGTGATATGTTCTAAAATCTGCATCAAATGCTGAAAATTGCCATTTAGATATCTCCTACACACCATAGTCAGCATCTCCCCCAAAACTGGGAACAATGTGGTGCTATCAGACTATAGTATACATTAATACCCTTTAAATCACATATGTTTGAGTCATACCTCTAGTCAAACTCTAATACCAAGACCTTTAACACTGCAACACTTCAGGACATGGTCTGAGCATTTTGGCAGCAGATATGACCTTAACTCTCCCAGCTCCTTTTTGAAAGCAGGGAGAATCTGGTATCTTCAAATAGTATATAATGGACACAGCCTAGAAGCTTTTCATAAGGTTTCTGTGCTCCAACCTCAGTGCACAGCTTGAAATAGGGAAGTAGCTAGTCCTACTTCAGATGAAACTCTGAAAAAGGGGCTGATAGTAATCAAAAGATTTATTAAAAACAACAGAAAACAGTGACACACAATTTACAAGTGCTGTATCAGAGGCCTGAACTGTATCTCTGGCAAAGGAAAAATCTGGTAGTTAGTGCCACCTACTCATAAGGACAACAGCATCTGTTCAGGCTGTTAATTTGCGAGATTTTGTGGCTCTTTTTTAACATCAATTATTTATTTTCAGTAATTATTGCCAGATTGTGTGAAAATTCCAGAATATAATGTCTGCATGCATGTTCTAATTATTTTTAAAGAAAGAACAGGCTATTGTTAGTTTGCAACATTGCTCATCAGATTGTTTTTTTAGCAGGCCAAGGACAACTTCTGAAGTTTTCAACAAGTGAAGACGTGCAGCAACAGCACCGCTGCAGACACAACTTCATACAAAGGCACAGATTCCCTGTTAAAGGGAAACATGTTCTGGTGACATCTTAGCTCACAGGTGTTTCACAGGCCTTGCAGCTGTTCTCTACAGGAATATGTATGTTAACTCTTCTGTTCCTCCTGTGCACTCTAAACTTGCTGAAGTGAGACAAAACTTTGTTGCTTCATTCATGCCAACCTTTACTTATACAAACAAGGCAAAATGATTATAATATAATCCAATCAAATTTCTGGCTGAGCTCACAGGGCAGGAGAGCACCCTATCTGAATTTCATCTTATTTACTCTGGCAGGGTTGCCAGGGTAAGTTTTTCCTTCAATAGAAACAGGGAAGAAGGGGTAAAGAAAACATCTCTGTAAAAGGGCAGAGATAGATATAAGTAAACAAAACTAAATCAACCTGCTGCTTGTGCTATACCATCTGGAAGACTATCAAAAGCATCATAAAGAATCCTGCTTTTCTAAGGTGCTCCTCTGCTAGACACTGACAAGTACTACCCAACTAACTGCATGATCCTAATGCTACCTGATAGGACAAGCTGCCTTACCAATAGGAAACTCTCAGTTTCTTAGTGTTAGACTAAGAGAACTGTATATCATACACCCCCTCCCTGTGACAGTGTCACAAGGGTTGCAGGATGAAGAGAGAGACGAGAATGTTGACCTCATGCTCAGAAGGCTTGATTTATTATTTTATTATATATATTAGATTATGACTATACTAAAAAGGAATAGAGAGAAAGTTTTCAGAAGGCTAGCTAAGTTAAGAACAGAAAAAGAAATGAATAACAAAGGGCTGTGTCTCAGCAGAAAGCAAGAACAGCTCTGCCGTGAGTGATCAGTAAATCTAAACATCCACAGAAGACCAGTCCCAGATCTACCTGTTGCATTCCACAGCAGCAGATAACTCTTGTTTATACTTTGTTGCTGAAGCTACAGCTTCTCAGAAGGGAGAAAAATCTCAAGAAAAGATTTTTCACAAAAGATGTCTGTGACACCCTCCCCAGTAGAACTCACACAAATGATGGGAAAAGCACTCACAACCCACTGCCAGCTTCTGCTGTCTCCTGACAGCTATTTACACATCACTTCCAAAAGAAGAGGTAATAAATGTATTTGGAAAGCCCAAGTTGCATATTTTGTATGGCTGGCATTATTGATCACCATCCTCTTAGAATAAAGAGGAAGCTGTAAATGACACTGGTAAGGAAATGACCTCCATAAGCACTAATTATCCAGGAAGTTATTTGTTATGACAAACAGCAGATTTTAAAACAGCACTTTCAAATAAAACCTAGGAATAAAATATGGAGAACAATAAAGTTGACATATTACCTGAAAGCGATTCATCAGTATGGCTCTGTGTGTCTTTGTCTTCTGGCTACAAAGCAGAAAACAAATATAAAGTAAAAATAAAACAATGTAATTGAACACCAGAATAAGTATTTGACTAATTTACAACTGGCAGGAGATTACTTAGAAGAATCCCAAGCTACTTGTAAAATCAGACAGGGAATATACATATAGATTTGAGGAATTGCTAACAATCTGGAGTCTTTTCAGGCAGCATTTCCATGCTTTGGCTCATAAAAAACTGCCCTGTGGGTTGTATGCACTGAACAACAGCATTTTTGTTAATGATATGCTATAGCATTGCATCTTTTGACTAACTCTCTATTAAACACCCAAAAGTTATTTAACAATCCATGTCTTGATTTAAAAGATTTTTAAAATGTTTTGCAATGTAAAAACCAAGAATTTTGTAACAAGCAGCACTAAGGGATTGTTTTGTTGATCTAGGCCAAGGGGAGAATATTTTTTTTTTAACAAACTTCTTCAGGTACATAGGAAGCTTTTATAGACAACAGGTGGAGGTGAATATTTTTGCAGCTCACATCTAACCCTCCCCATATTTGAAGTTAACATTCCCTCAATGATGTTTTGTCTGCTAATTAAGCATAATGAAATTACTTAGCAGCCTGAGACTGTAACACACATTGTAGCATTTAAATCCTACTAGTCAGCAACCTCTAAAAACTGGAAGGACAGCCCCTTGATTGTAGAACTGTGGGGAAACTGCAGCTGCCCTTACTTTAACTATGCAGGTGTGGAGCCAGGTGAAATAGCTTTCTTCTGTTGAGGATTTAAAGATGAAAGTAGAAGGGGATTTTCCCCTTAGATAGCTGCAATGAAGTATTGTTGATCTTTTTGTATTGTGTCATTCTTCTGAAACAGCAGGCTTCTTAATTTTGCAGGTTGTGCATACAAACAAAAGTCAATATATGGGTAACAACATAGTGTAATAAGATACTCTAGTCCAACCTGCTACACCTTCTTTACTAAGAAACCCACTAAAAATAGAATACAGGCAATTTCAGTTGCTGTGGTGAACTTGCATGCATTCATGATCTAATTATAAAGAAGGTGAACTCTCTCCAAAATATTTACGGACTTTGTTAAGAAAGGAAAAATTTGCATAGTGTTTTCAGTATTTCTTTACTCCCTGAAAACTGCAAGACCACACATGCAACAGCATCAAAATGTCTGCTGTCTGCTCAAGAGAGATCTAACACTGCACATGCCAATTGCAACTGAATAAGCCTTGCCATTATCTTCCCACAGTTTACTTTTCTACCACAACAGCTTTATCTGGACAACGCTTTTTAAACACAAAGTTGGCCTTCATGGCAACATGTGAGCACACAAAGTTTAAAAAAATTAAATCTGCAGTTCCTGATTATAGTAATTGTCTCCACTCCAACAAATGCCTTAAAAAGGCAGAATGTTATTACTGAGCCTCAAGGAGCAAATTCCCAGAAGAGTAACTCATTGGGGAGAATGAGGAACTTCTCAGGACAGCTCAGCCTCCCTAAAGATCTACTTCAAAAGAAACAAATAAGTAAATTTAAAAAACAAAACAAAACTAAATAAAACAAAAAATCCCCACCAAAAAAAAAAAAAAAGAAAAGCAGATACTGTTTACTTAACTGCTGTACTGAACCTCATTTCTCAGACTTTATCAATTCATTGAAGTTCAAACCTTACTGTGAAAGCCAATGCCTAAGTGCCCTTATGTCATTACATATGCCTTATGAGGTATAAAAAAGAGTGGGTAGTACTGCAAAAAGTACCAAGAAATGAGCGATATTTACCTGTGCCATACATCCGTTTTCAAAATTCATATTTTTATTGATCAGTCATTGACCAATTTATCAAGTCACATGCACTCACGTTTATTCAAGACCATTTTCTTGTAATGTAATTGCAATAAGACAAGGTAGTGTTACTGCCAGGGAAATGAAGGCATTAAGCAAGAATATTTTTTGCCCACAGTGAAGATCCAATCATCCTCTACAGGTCTAATCAAAGCCATAAACTTATGTGCAGTCTGCGGGTAAGCAGAAAGTTTTCCAGCTCTGTGGAACCATTACCACCCTAATACACTGAATTATCTTTATAGTGATTCTTAGTTGCCAACAATTGCTCTTTTCTTGATGATGGGAAGGAATGGTTACCTCCATCATCTGTGAAATGCATACCAAACCCATGTTTGTTTCTGATGGAATTCAGCTGGGACTCTGGCATTAGGAATTCCTTTTAATTCTTCATCTTGCTGGAAAATGCTCATTCATTTCTCTTCTCCAAGTTTTCTGCTCAACCCAAAGAGAATCAATTCGAAATTCAGCAAAAACATTCACTTGAAAGATGATAACCATGGAGCATGGGAGTCACTCAGCATTGCCCTTCCGATGGCAATGAAAGATGTCACAAAAAGCAGACAATGTTTCAGCTATGGGAAGAGCAGTGTCCCAAAATCAAAGCAAAAACCATCTAATGCCTCCCTAAAGACAAAATCTAGGTTTCCTTACTTCTTCACTGCCTGGCTTTATTTTCGCCAGGAAGTATCTTCATCAGAGGGACAGCATGCATGACAAAGCTTTAACACTTTGCTGGCTCTTCTTCAGAACATCTATACGTTGATCAAAACCTATTTAAACTAAAAAGTACATGTTAACCATAAAATAATCTTTTTTTTTTTTTGCTCTTCTCCACAAAAGCTCCCTTCGTTGAACTCTTGAACAGAAAGCAAATCTCTGGTCTGTTTTACTGACTAATTTTGTGCTCTCCAGATACAGTTTGAAAATATACTTATTTGTTAACATACTTACTGAATTAACAGCAGTAACTTGGTTCACATTCAAGTATCATTTTTCTCACCTGTTGTATTAGGCCAGAATCTGATGTAAGGGTCTTGATGTTCACAGATGCAATTTCCAAAGTAACTTGATCTGTTAGGTATTCCTCATCTAAGGCAAAGAGTGTGAAACACTCACAAATTTAAATAGTAAGTAATTTATGTTATCAAACAAATTATAGTATAGTTGTCTAACATAAAAAATATAACTCCATATCACGATCAAATGCTGGGAATTGCTAGATTAAAAGCCCAAAATATTAAGTCAGCAGAGTCTGTAACAGTAATGCAGAGCATGACTGTGAGAAGAAATATAATCCTTGCAGAGATTAGATATTAGAGTAGCAGTTGTTTTCTAAACAAACATCACACTATTTTTAAAGCAAGAGTCATGTTGTTCTTTCAGAAAGCTGACTACAGAATATAACTGCACCAACACAACAAAGTAGGCTGAAGATGTCACAAGTCACTCTAATTTTTGCTTTGCTTTTCTCATCACACTTAAAATAAGAGTTAAAATAATTACTGCATAAATATTTATATTTTATTCTGCCCCTTTGTGATCTGGACTCATCCTAGTGATTCCTACTATACAGGAATTTGCTGAAGCACTGAGATTATCCATTTCAAAGTGTGTTTATCAACACCCCTGGGAGTCCACTGAAAGGCAAAGCATTCCCTAGTACAGCACAAATTCTACTAACTTTTCAAGCATCACTTCAGACCTCAAAATGGGATACAAAGGATACATAAACCCTTTGTGGACCTTGTGTACTCGGCATTATTAGTAAGGTCCTCTTCATCAAACTCTTTGCATAATTCCCCAAGTCAGGTGCTGACCAACCATTAACACAAGCTTAAAAAGGGTTATAGTCTACATGTTTTTACACCCAACAACACTGCATGGGGGTGACTACACTTGTAGCACTGGTATGTTTCCATTTGTTGTTTGTTAAGCAGCAAGATCTCATTGAAGAACCTCTATTATCTTTATGAATTATCACATAACAGAAAGAAGCAATATTTTCTTAACTCACTCAAGAAATTGATCTGGATCAAAGAATTCATCCTTACACTTGCAAGCAAAAGAAAACCAAAAATCACTACTCTCCTCTTTTTCTGGTTTTATAAGACTGATGGAAGATATTTCATCCCCAGTGATGTCAATGTTTGGTAGAGGATCATCATTATTCTTTATGACTGTAGGTCCAGAGACAACAACAACCAACAAAAACAAAACCCAAAAAAAACCTCAAAACAAAACCACCAAAATCCCAAAACCAAACAAAAAAAAAACCACCCAAAATAAAGTCTGTCTGAAAATGCAAAGCATGAGCATCAAACCTGTGAAAATAATATCTGTGAAATTGTGAAATTTATTCTATATTTGAGTGGAAATAGAGTTATTATCAAATCATGATAAACACTAAGGCAACCTCTGCAAGATAAGAAGTTCCCTCAACACCATTTTATCTCATAATCAGTAAACGGTGCCAAGAACTTTAAGTTATGGCTCCAAAACAGCCCATTAATTATTTGGCCAACAAAAGATACAGACAGCCCCTCTCACCAATATACTGTCAGTTCAAACATTAAATCTGAAACAAACATAATTGTTTCTTATACAGAATCAGACCAGCACATCTGTTACAATTTTCAGTTGACAGACTCATACTTCTAAGTTTGGTTTTGTAATAGAAATAACTATGAAATACCATTCTCAGAGAAATTGTGAATTTACAGAAATTAAGAAAATACTAAGAGGTATTTGTATCACATTCAAAGGGGAAATGTTAAGCTCCATTAGTAATTACATCTTCTTACACTTAGTAAGAGGAAGCAAAAATGATAATTATAAACCAAGTGCACTTCCTTATTACAGAAAGTGCTGACCTTTCTACTTATGTCTTAGCTTTCTTTTTTAAATCAGGTGCATTTAATTTTGCACTTTAAACAGCCCTGGCAAATTTGAAATTTATTAATTTATCTAATTAATTTTGAGGAAGACCTAATGTCACAGGTGAAATAAAAAGCAGAACATGGAAAAGAATGTGCTAGTGTAATTGCTTTGGTGCAAATAAAGAATTTTGAAGGACCAAACCACCTGCCTGCAAACAAACAAACTAGTTTATGACTTCATCCCACACGATCCTTCCCTGCTGAGCAGCACTTCTGAGGAGCACTCATTTCCTCTGCCTGGCTTTGTCAAGCCCCAGAATAATGCCCAGCTTTTCTTTAACCCCAGTGGTGTACTGCTCCCACTCCTCAGCACAAGTTTCCATTGTGACAATCCTGGTTTCCTGTGGCTGTCCCACTGCAGACCTGCTGTGCAATACAGGATGGAGAACACACTACCTGCAGAGTGCTCTCAAGCAAGCCCCTGCCAGGGCATTCCCTGGACAAAAGTCAATGGCCAAGCCTGGGATGACAACAAAAAACCCACCCCACACATGAAGGAAACATAAGGAAGATGTTCACCCTGTGTAATCCATGTATTTTTCTTCAGAACCTGCACTCCCTCACTCCTTTTTCAGCAAGGAGAGGCAGGAACTTGTGCAGAGTACACCTAATAGTAGGCTCCCCAGTAGATGGTATTAAACCAGCTGAAGGTAAAAGATGGCATGAAGAGTTGACAGGTTATAAGGCTGGGAATGCAGTCAGAGGCAAAAGACCTGAAGGCATTTCTTGATTTTATTTCTAACAGCATGAAGGTACTGGTAGTCCCTTCAAAGTCACCATCCAAAATCAAAATGTCTCTATTATCTGTGGTCTGAACCCTGTCTTTCAATGGCACCACTGTATTTTCCTTTCAGATCAAGAACCCAGGTCTTCTGATGATATTTTTAGAGTGACTTTAAGATCAAAACTAAACTTTGGAAGGAATTTCAAAAGTTAGATAAACACACCAAATTGACCACAACAATAAAGAGGGCATTACATTTAAAGCACAAATATATAGAAAAAGCATGAGTATTTTAATCTGTTGGGTAACACCACTGGTTTTACTGCAGATAGCAACAGATCAATGATAGCTGAATAGACAGAATTCACAATACTTACCTTTAGGCACTCCTGTGTCTTGGACAGGATATTTTTCTGTCTGTCACAAAATGGCAAGAAACACAGATGTTTGTTATTTTGAGTGCAATTGTGCTGGGGAAAGAGTAGTTATATACTCTTTCTTTATGTACTTTTGTAAGTGCACAATTATAGTTGTATCTCTCAAGTTGCTTCTAGTTGATCTGTCACCATCAGATACAGCAACACTCTTCTGTGGAAACTGAGATGTTGCTAACACTGCTGATTAGCACTTGAAGAAATAATAGAGATTACTGCTTTGCTACAGTACTTTTAAAGCTATTTTTAGTGAAAAAGCAGAGTTTAGGAAAGAAATTTTGTACTGAAGTAGCAAGATAATCTTGAAAAGGTAATGCATGTCAGAACAGACATAACTTCAAACTCTTTTAGCAGATTAAACTTTTAATAAAATGTTACTTCATTGAAAGAAAAAGAAATATTTTCCCTTCTGCTCTAAACTTACATAGCTGATTAAGAGGGAATAGGAAGCAGTTATTTGTGAGTTTAAGGAGACAACTACTGATTCCCGGGCATGACATAACTTATCATTACATCTGACATTTACCTCCTTCCCTATGGCTCTTGCCCTTACATGACAGTAGGTCTGGCTTTTACAGAAAGCCACATTTTAAAGAGTTTCCACAGAAATTCATATTACTCCCACCTGGGCAGGAGCCTGGGATGTTTGCGATCCCGACACAAGCGATGCTGGTGTGCCAGCGAGCACCAGAGGGCGCGGTTTGGTCCCTCCCGAGGCTCAGCCGGGCCTGCCTAAGGCACTGCTCTTGGATCCTACCTTTCCATGATTAGAATCAGCTACAGGAAGCAGTAACAGCTTCGCAGGGCTGAAATTTTAAGCCCTAGGTGGGTTATTTTATCCGTTCAAACTATGAGACAGAAGAAAGTAATTCTTCTCAGTTCCTGGGACTTTTTTAAATTGAAGAGATGCCACTGCCAGAGCCTTTGGAGGTTATCCCATGGGCAGCTTCACTGATAATACCATCCAGTTCAGCTGATATACATGTTGGTATTTTTACTTACACTTTGACTGCACAGGTTAATTTATTAAGGCTTTTGTAGAGTCAAATCTTGTATATGCACTGATAGTATGAGTTAGTATCCTTGAATGTTTTCTCTCACTGTGGCATCACATAACCATACAGAGTTATGTATGGTTCAACTGCACTAGACTAGAAACACATACCATTGTTAAGGAAAGAGTGCTTGGATCTGTATCCTCCACTGGCTCTTTAGCTGCATGATCTGCTGGAAAAAAGAAAACTATTACTGCATAGTCATAAAAGTATTTCTGCCAATTCACATTTTGCTTCTTTGTCTGACCAAGGTAAAACACAACTATACAGCCATTACATGCATTATGTCATATTTCCACAAGAAAACATGACAAACTGGAAAATGTCAGAACTACTAGCACAGACATTAGAAATTACATGTAATAAAGGATACCCAACTCTAACCTAACAAAAGATAGACTTCAACGAAAATCTCAAACTATTTAGTGAAAAAAATCACAAAACATGTCAGCAATAAATACTAAAATTCAGTAAGTTTTCTAGAAGCTAAGTTCTGTTCTCCTATTGACAGAATTGAAATTTTTTCCTCAAAGAAACAATTCAAACAGGAAACAAACATACCCACTACAACAAAAATTAATACTAGATTGAACATCAGATTACAACAGAAAATACTCATTTAAAAATATTTGAGCAAAATATTATTTGTATACAATAGAACAGTAAAAATCTACTATCTTATTATCAAGAGAATCAAAGCATGAATCTTCAAAGTACCTGCAGGTGAATCATGAAATGTTAACCCCTCTGCATCAATAGCTAAATTGACAAATACTAGTGGGATACTGACCAAAAGTGCACAGAAAATCTGAAATAAATCTCATACAGAAGACAGGATTCACAAAATTACTCCTATAATTTAACATCATCCTACCATATTTTTCAGAAATCTCTTCTGTTGATAAGAATAAATGTTTTCAAAAAATTGAAAAACATTTCAAATTATCACAGAATCACAGAAATTCTAGGTTGGAAGATACCTTTAAGATCATCGAGTCCAACCCATGTTCTAACACCTCAACTAGATCATGGCACCAAGTGCCACATCCAGTCTTTTTTTAAACTCTTCAAGGGATGGTGACTCTACCACCTCCCTGGGTAGATGATTCCAGTATTTGACCACTCTTTCTGTAAAACACTTCCTCCTTAATTCTAGCCTGTATCTCCCTTGGCACAGCTTGAGACTGTGTCCTCTTATTCTTTCTGTTGTTGCCCGGAGAAAGAGACCGACCCCCAGCTCACCACAGTCACCCTTCAGGAAGTTGTAGAGGGTGATAAGGTCACCCCTGAGTCTCCTTTTCTCCAGGCTGAACAACCCCAGCTCCCTCAGTCGTTCTTCATATGGCTTGTGTTCCAAGCCCCTCACCAGCCTCGTTGCTCTCCTTTGGACACGCTCAAGCATCTCAACGTCCCTCCTAAAGTAAGGGGCCCAGAACTGGATGCAATACTCCAGGTGAGGCCTCACCAGTGCCAGTACAGGGGAAGAATGACCTACCTGCTCCTGCTGGCCATACCATTCCTGATACTGGCCAGGATGCCCTTGGCCTTCTTGGCCACCTGGGCACACTGCTGGCTCATGTTCAGCCGACTGTCAACCAGCACCCCCAGGTCCCTTTCCACCTGAACACTGTCCAGCCACACCGTTCCTAGCTTATATCGTTGCCGAAGTGCAGGACTCGGCACTTGGACTTATTGAACTTCATCCCATTAGATTATGCCCATCCATCCAACCGTTCCAAGTCCCTCTGCAAAGCCCTCTGTCCCTCTAACAGATCAACACACATTCCCAGCTTAGTGTCATCTGCAAATTTGCTAATAAAGGACTCAATCCCCTCATCCATGTCATCAACAAAAATATTAAACAGAACTGGCCCCAGCACAGACCCCTGAGGGACACCACTGGTGACTGGTTGCAGCACCATTCACCACCACTCTCTGGGCCTGGCCATGCAGCCAGTTCTGAACCCAGCAAAGAGTGCTCCTGTCCAAGCCACGGCCTGCCAGTTTGTCTAGGAGAATGCTGTGGGAGACAGTGTCAAAGGCCTTGCTGAAATCCAAGTAAACAACATCAACAGCCTTCCCTGCATCCACTAGGCGGGTTACCGGGTCATAAAAGGCGACCAGGTTGGTCAAACATGACCTACCCCTCCTAAATCCATGCTGGCTGGGTCTGATACCCTGGCCATCTTGTACATTTTGCGTGATGGCGCTTAATATAAACTGTTCCATTATTTTGCCAGGTACTGAGGTCAGGCTGACTGGTCTATAATTACCAGGATCTTCCTTTGCACCTTTTTTGTGAATGGGTATCACACTGGCCAGCTTCCAGTCATCCGGAACCTCACCAGTGAGCCAGGACTGTTGGTAAATGATGGAGAGTGGTTTTGCAAGTTCGTTTGCCAGCTCTCTCATTGCCCTGGGGTGGATCCCGTCTGGTCCCATTTATTTATGAATATCCAAGCATTTCAGTAGTTCTATAACTGCCTCCTCTTGGATAATAGAGGGACCATTCTGCTCCCTGTCACCATCAACCAGCCCAGGCAGGCATCTTGAGGGCAAGTCATCTTCCCACTAAAAACTGAGGCAAAATAGGCATTAAGCACTTCTGCCTTTTCCTCATCTTCAGATACTAAGTTCTCTCCTTTGTCCAATAAAGAGCAAAGGCTGGTCTTACCTTTCCTTCTACCATTAATGTATTTGTAAAAACATTTTTTATTATCCTTTACAGAAGTTGCCATTCTAAGTTATGTGCTAAGATCTTCATTCTTGTCACTCTTACTCTAAAAGTCACTTACTGCAAGTACACATTAAGTTTTCAGAAGCAACAAGTAAGACATGACTGTAATCAGTATTTGGTGATTACCTTCTTTGGAATATAAAAACCAGTAGATTCAGAACAGTGTCACAGAAATTAAGTACAAAGCACACATTATAAACACTGAGCCCCAAAACAGAACAGAAGTTACACAGACACTACTCTAAAGAGCTCCAATTTAACATAGTTGCTTATTTGGGGACCCATTCCTATCAATCCACTCAATACAACAGAACGAGCTGAAGCAATAACCAATGCAAGACAGCACAATAAACTGAAAATAAAAAAGGAGACAGCAGTAGGACAGAGTTGTTCTCCCTCCTGCCTCTGTGAGGCAGCCCCACCATCAGCAGTTCCTGGGTGTCCCTGAGATTCCATGTCAAGCCTTTTTCAGTGCAGAGCCCCCAGGAAATCCACAGGCATTGTGCAAGCAGGTGGCACATGACCAGAGGGGTAAATGACTAGGGCTGAGCACAGTCTTTGCACACTGAATGTAAACATTCAAAGGCACAAAAAAGGCAGGGGCCTATGAAAATGCCATTGAGCATTGCTCACACTGCCAATTAGGAAGCCATATGCAGAAGAGGAAAACAAACAAACTATCTAAAACCCATGTTCTTGTCATACATCTTTTTTGGTATATGATAAATCCCTGCTCCACAAACATGGAATTAACAAAATAGTCTGGATAAATCCACCTTGATAGCAACAGTCAGCACAAACTCTCAAATGCAGAGAAGTTGAAAGTCACTAGGACATAGGAAAATACAATATGCTGGCATAAGACATTGCTTGAGGGTAGGGCCAAAAATAGAGGCTCCTAGTGGGAATTGCAGTGGAAAGTTGCAGAGGAGCTGGGCAAATAGAAGCCCACCCAGTAAAGGAAAGCTGAAAAAGGAGGCAGCACTGGGAGCCAAAGAAAGGTTCTAGGGAAGAAGGCCAGCCCAGGCATCCCTAGTCTCACTGTTTTTCTACTCAAATCCAGTGGCAAAGCATGCACCTTATTGTTGGTTTATTCTGGAGGCCTTTCAGCTTTTCAGCTCCTCCTCACAGATTCTTTGATTAATTTAAAAAGAAAAAAAAAATAAAAACCAGCCAAACCAACAAAACAACCCCCAGAACTTTCTTTTTCCCATGTAAGAGGTGCCTTGAGGCAGGTGAAGGCAGACTCCATAGAACATCCAAGCCTTGGTGAACCTCACTGGTTACTGCAGATATATAAGGGCGCTGTCCCCATCTTCTCTACATTTCCATGACCACCAAGGTACATTTTGACACTGATAACTCACTTTCCACAACCCAGCAGGAAGCACTGAAAAAAATGGAAAAGCTCAAAGAATCTGAAACAAGGACTTGATAGACCCAAGGGTATCTTTACAAGAGGTGATGGGGGTACAAGGGCGGTACCTGTCACCCTGCTTTCCAGGTCTCACACATAAACACAGTCATGAGAATCTGCATCTTTCTTGTTTAGCATCAATCCTGAAAAGTATTTTTAAATCGTATTTAATTTCCTATACCTCAATTGCTTCCCTTTATTTAATAGTTTTTTATGAAGAATAGTAATTTCCATTGTTTTGTTTAGGCTGCAGACTACTACCAAGTCCCCAGGTTTTTTATAAGTGGCATGTATGTGTATGAATATTTGCACCTAAGATTAAAGACTCCACCTATTGGGCTGCAGATGATTCACCTGGGTCTTCACCCGGCAGATAACCTGAAAACCAGAGACCTAGTGTATTATTGTGAATAAGGCAATTTGAATGTCCTTTCTCTCTTTCCCACATGCATCTGCCCCAACATTCCACAGCTCATGTCACAGAGCTGGACACAGGTGCACAAAGCAGCAGAGAGGAAAGTTCTGTGCTTATCTCAGATGTAAACCATCCACAGTTTTTGCATGCTGAAAGGCCAACAGGAACTGAAGGCATCACCTGACTGACTGTCTGATTTCATGGTTACTTTGACAGACATTACCTGGGATCCCTCACAAAATCACTATCACCATACTCTCCCCAACAGGATACAGACACTGGACCACATTTACTTCCCCACCCTTCTGCAGGGAGCCATAAGTGAGTTGACTCAGATGGGCATAAATCAGCATGTGCACATTGACTCGGCAGACACAAATCAGATTCAGTGGTTGCTCCTGAGGTTCATTTCTGCACCTGCATGCTGCTCAGCAGCTGCCACAGCTCTGCCAGGGCCCACCCAGTATGACCAGTCTGCAGGAGGAGCAGCAGACTAGCAGACTTGTACCAATGCCCACCTTTTCATTCTGCCCAATACCTCTACTACAATTGGGATGCAATGCTCTGCACTTACCAGCGCAAACAGTTTTTCTGCTTTTCACCCTTGCATTGGAAGGAAGTCTGAAAGCGAGTTTTAGAGACCTCAGGATTTTGACCTTTAAGCAGGAGGGGGTTCACAAAGCACCAAGGAGCAGAGGCAGTATTCCCTCTGTTACAGTTTTACTCTGCAACACAGCTTTGACACCACCAGTAGTGAGTGAAGCCCCTGAAATCAGCTGTAGTTACATAGTTCAACCATGCACATTTCCACACAAAGGCTGGGCATACACATTAATAGTTTAACTTAGCATAACTTGAACAAGGAATCACTAATACTAATGTTGCTCATAGAGATGAACTCTTTGACTAAACCCAAGTAAAAAAATGTTGCTTTGACTAGGGGCACATGAATTTAGATTTGAATAGGCAAGTTATACTAGAATATTCAGTACCCTGAAAAGCCCAAGTCCTTCAGCACTCGTGCATTTTTGTTTACTGTCAATTACTCAAAACTTTGTCCCTGTCTGAGCATGGAAAAGTCTGTGATGCTGGCACACCACAGGTGAGGTGTTAAAACTCATTTGCACCGTTACTATGTAAGTTAATGCACGTGGACTTCGTAACCACCCGAGCTCTGGGCTCCTAAGAAAAAGCCTTTTAAAAAGGGATTTTGAAAATGCTGTTAACTAGCGCAAACTAACTTACACGCTAAACACTGGAGCAGACTTGACAAGACAAGTTACACTAAATCACATCAGCAGAGCACATGATAAATTATTACAGTGCTTAAGTGGCGTGCGCGCAGGGGAAAGGGAGCAAGTTCAGAACTCTTTTCAGCCCGGCCGGGTGTACGCTCCTCACCTGGCTCCCAGGAGCCGCGGCCTCGGCTGCGCCCGGCCCGGGATGGGCGCCGCGGGCCGCCCCCCGCGCACCGCCCGTCCCGGAGCCCCGCGGGCCCCTCGGGGCATCCCCGCCCGCCCGCCCGGCTCCCCGCGGCCTCACCTGGGGGCAGCGGGTCCTGCGGAGCGGCCATGGGGCGCGGCGCTCCCGCGGCGAGGAACGCGACGTGCCCGGAACCGCCGCCCCGCCGCGCCGCCCCCTTCCTGCGCCGCCCCGCCGCAGGTAGGGCGCTCCGGCAGCGACAGGGCCGGGCGGGTCGGTCCCACCCATGGCCGTCCCGGGCCGCGGTGGGAAGCGCGTCTGCCGGGAGCCCGCATTTCCCAGCGGGAAATACCGCGGATACGTCGGGTTAAATCCTCCCTCACTCAGGTGCTCCCCTGAGCGAAAAAGCCGTGTTTCGCTGAGACCACAGAGACGGAGTGCACGTACCGCTCGTCAAGTAGTGCTAGTTCGGCTTTAAGAGTGAGCCGCTTCAGCAGTATAAAATCAATGCTCGCTGTCCTGCTCTTGCGGACATTTACGAGCCTAAATCACCGCCTTCCGACAGAGAAAGGCGGTCTCCATTAGGGCTGAAGGTGCGTTTGCAGGTAGCTCAACGTGTACAGAGAGTTTACAAAAGTACTGCAGAGCAACAATCAAACTGCACTGGTTTCTCACAGATATTTAAAGTTTGTCCTCTTATGCTACAGGCACATCTAATGCCATGACGAAGTCAAATCTTTGTATGTAATTGCTTTGGAACGCCACTATCATCTCTGGTAAATTCTCTCATTTATGGTTTCGATGTAGAGTAATGCAGGCTTCTTAAATGGGGTCTGTGCATGAAATCAAGCTCTAAATAAGAGATATTATATATTGCTACAATAGAAACAAAAAAAGCCGACACAACTGAATCTGCCATTAGAAAGATCAGTTTTGTGAACCACCTGGCTCATTTATTAAAGAGGTAAATTTACAGATAGATTCTGTTCTGTTACGCTGAGAGAGCTCCAGTTCAACTGGCCAGACAACTGGCTTACACTGGCACAACTATAAGTAGCCTTTGGTCCATTAAACATTAAAATTGAGTGCTTTTCCATGGCTTATTTTTCATCTCTTGTGCATGTTCCAAATTTTTTTTTTAAAGTGATCAAGATTAAATTGCTGTTATTTCCACAATTTAAATTGATGACAGTAGCTGTCATCCTGTTGTCATGAACAAGTATTTCTCACACTGCAGCCTGGAAAGGGCAGGGTGGGGATGTGGAATGCACCACCACACCTGTTTTTTTTTTTTAGCTTAACATCAGTACTATTGATGTTTTTCAATTATTTTCTTACTGAATTTCATCTGAGATAAATGGGGGCTCCACCACTGGGTCATACACACAAACATATGTATATCTCTATATATCTTAATCTCCAAGGTACAGCTAACAGATCACTAAGATTTCTGCAATTCATGATGTTCAGAAAACAAAGATTTTTTTTTTAGGTCTATCATTGAAGTCCAACTGTTCAAGGGGTCAGTTGCCTCTCCCTCCTTCCACACTCATATTAAAACTCATTCTCAAAGAATAAGGGCTTACTTCAAAAAGGTAACACCAAATCAAATTAGAACTAAAACTGCTGATTCTGTGTGTTTCCTTAGATTTCCTTAGCAGCACAAGGGTTCTGGTGATGGATAATTAGGCTGAGAGCAGAAGTGTATTCTTATCTACACAGATCTCACAAACACTATACTAATTATTGGAGTCTCTTTTATAACTGTGAGGAATGACACAGCCACATTAGAGCTAAGAATGCTCTAAACTCAGACCTGTCAAATTTGTCCTTCAATCAAATTAATGCCATGTCTATCCTGAGGACCTCCATGTATTTATTGCCTCTGTGTGCTGTTCAAAAACTACTGGACACAGTGACTGTGAAAATTTTTGGAAAATATATTTACAACCTACATAAAAATGTATCCATTGATTTCCTTCAAAATATCCCTAGAGTACTATTGTTGCACAGATGGCCGTAAACAACAGAAGGCTACAAAACACTGGTGCTGTGGGCTAAGTCAGGTTTTACAATCATACTCTTCTCATAACTTAAAACCTGATATCTTCCTATATGAGGATTAAAAAATTATTTCAGTAAACAATAACAAATTTTGTTTTAGTGGAACAACACTTGTGCCAGCAGCCAAAACTGGTTAATATTGCTCAAAATTGTGTATTTTAAGAATATAAATATTGATACCTATAAATTAGATTGGCTCTTCAATTTGAAGCAAATTTTTTTTTAATTATTTACAGAAAGCTCTTTAAAATAATGAAATTTAATAATAGAAATGAATAGTTTAGAATATATTAGTGCTTTAAAACTTAGGCTAGTAATAATAGTTTAACAGTTTTTCCATAGTACTGAAGGAGGAGACTGCAATTACTTACAAGTATCTCTAGAGTACTGATAACAGTACAGATTAAATTGGCTGTTGCATGCCTGTTCGTGTATCATTCTTTAATGAGTGTTGTTGAAATCTTTGTTACTTAGCCAACTGACCAGTGCAGAAAGCCAGCAGTTATTTTGGCAAAACTAAACACAACCATATAATAAAAGCCAAGTCCAGAATGAGAGAACTTTAAGCAATGGCATTTCATAGAATGCTGGATTAATTTTCTCATCAAATTTCTAAACCTAAATACTATCTGTTCCTTATCTTGATAGAACCCTATAAGCTACTAAATTCAGCATAGCTAATTCTAATGGGAATTTTGTAAGTTTCCCCTCAAATGCAAAATTAGTAATTTCAAATAGTTTTCACAAATCAAGTCTATGCAAATCTCTTCTCACTCCTTTCCTCTTGGCCCCATCAAAAAACCCAGCCATATTTGATGACAGAGGCTTTTCTCAAAGATCTACAAACGGTCCAGTAAGATAGACACTGGAGAACTTATTGCTTGAAATAGCAATTAACACAGTCTCAAGGGGCTTCCCACCTCCTGAGCACTAGAGTGCAGACAAAACCTGGGACAAATATTTTTCTACAGAAAAATATAACTCATACATCCTCACAACAAAAAGAAAAATAAAACCACACACACAACTCCCCCACCAAAAAACCCAAATCACCAATAATAAAGTTTTAAAAGCCATCAAAATATTTTTTCCAGTTGATCTTCTGTAGCCTTTCCACTTGGAGAGTTTTTGTTCCAGATCACAAATGCTACTATAACACAGGGGATCATTGGTATTCCCCATGCCTCCACACAGGTTGCCCATAGTCATGGTAACTGTGGGCCTGCCAAAATCACATGGCAACCTTGTTTATACTTTCTCATCTGTTTGCTTTTTACACTTCAAATATCTTCACTTAAGGAAGTCCACATTGAGTAAAATACCTCTATGTCAACATAAACTCTTCACCCCTCCTGTATTTCAGGAGATTTGGGAAGAAATCTCCCTGCATTTTCTCTCCCAGTATCTTCTAGACAGTTTTTAATTGTCAACGGCTTCAGACTGCTGCTAGAAAAGTTCTGGAACATTCTGAGACTGCTTTGGAGAAGGGATAATTAACCAGCAGCTAAAAAGTCAAAACTGCTTTCTTTGTCAATAAGGATATTGGTCTTCTCTTTTAAAGTTCTTTTACAGGAACATCACGATTTTGACATTTCATTGATAGTAACAGCACTATATGGAGAAAACATAAAAAATGACGCATACCTAGACCATCTTATGTAACCCTGTGGGAAATTTGTTTGGCTGACAGGACTGCATGATATGGAAATGTTCCCTCCACTCCAGGAGCTGTGCCATGTCCAAGTCAAACACACACCACAGAAACCTTGCTTTCCCTAGATTGACATGTTGAAACTGAGCCTAACACGATTGATTTCAGGCTGCAGCTTATCCCTCTGCAGGGACATTAGCCCAGTCCCCCTGCCTGGCTGCTTGTTTCCATAACAGTACAATTTAGATGAGATCTATACCTCATGGTCAGATTTGCTGACAGATAAGCATGCACACTGAAAGAGCAAGTGCACAAATCTTAGGTGTTTTTTTTTAAAAAGATTATGCATTTTCAACATACTCACTATACCCAGAAGTTTGACAGAGCTAGTAGACTCATTCCTATGTTTGCACTCCTTAAAAAAAAAAAAGTATGGTGCTACAGGAATGACAATAAAACTCTATAGATTACTTCTACTCTTCACTCAGATCATGCTGTTATAGACCACACAAAACACTTTGTTAACATCCACCTGTTACACACACACATGTGAAACATGGAAATGAGAATACAGGTCTACAGCTAAGATTTGTAGTTAGCTTTTCACCACCTACAAAAACTTCCTAAAAATGCACTTCCTCCCTGTAGTTTGCTATTCTTTATTTTTTACTGCATTCTATCACTCTTGCTTTTTTATTCATAGTCACTGCGAAAATGTTGCTGTATTTTCTTATAAAAACTTTACCTTTTTTACCACTATACTGAATTTGACATATTGTTTTGCCATTCACAGGCCATGCTCCTGAGATAACCCTAGACATCCATAGGTCCGTCCTTTTCAAAAGATATTTGCACCTATTGCTGCAGACATGAGCATGGGTTGTGGTTTTAAGGCAGACATCAGTAGGTGGGGAACAAGATGTCAGTGAGGCATGACTTGCAAGGAAGCACAACTTGTATCAGACCTATTGAGAGTAGGACAGAACAGAGTGTACAAGCTCTTCACAGTAGAAGGCCTGACAGACCACAGAACTTGTGCCCTTGGCTGCTTTCTCTATTTGTGTCAGGTGGTTTACTGAAAGTTCTCACCCACAGCTGTGCCTTGCTGTATCATTTAAATCTAGACTACCACAAGACGTTCCACTGCTCAACAGGCACTGCCCTCCCACTGCTGCTGTTTGCCAGACTTAAACAGAGGTTTGTGACATATCGATTCCTCTGGTTAATTCTCCTAAGTTTAGGAAGGACACATTCAGAAGTTAATTTGGAAAAATCAATAAAGGCAAAAAATAAATACAGAAAAATAAATAAAGGCAAATGTTTCAAGGGCAAAAAGTTTCAAAATAAAAATCCACATTGACATCTTATTGCAGGGGTTCCATATTGTTGTCTCCTATTGCAAAAGTTTCATACCTTTTTGGTGTTTTCTCATGGGCAGCTCTTCAGAACACTGACTCCTCTTC